GGTTTTTAACATTGAATACAGCATCCCTATCTTCTCTCACAGCAAACCTAGCGATAATCGGACGAGGGCGAGCAGGAGTAGCTCCATTGCTTTGTGGCTTGCCCACGCGGTGGACGGCATGAAAACGTATATGCTGGATGTTCATTTTAAGATCATTTTCTAGAACATCATAGATGATATTCTGGCAATTTTCGCCTCGACTTTCGGGGATATTCATGAAACGCAAGTTTTCTCGTCTCGTATAGTTCTCAAGAGCGACGAGGTTCTCCTGTGCTTCTTTCAAAGCGGGCTTAAGCTTCTCGTTTTCGGCTTGGAGCTTTTCCAGATCAGCTTTTAGGCTTTCGATTTCCGCAGACTGCTCGTCCATCATTTTTTGGTGAGTGCTTTTTGAATCTTTTAAGGCTTTTGACTCTTGCTGTAGGTCCTCGATGCTTGCCCACGCGAGGTTCACGGATTTCTCTAGCTCATTCAGTGTTGATTTGACGGCATTGATTTCGTGTTTAAATTCACACGTAAGCTCTGAGATCTGTGTGTGTAGATTGGAGAAATTGTCTTCCATACGAGATTCTATGGCTCTTAATTTATCAAGGAATATTTCCGTAGAGCTGAGCGAGGCGGTCTCCTGGTTTCTTTCCATTTCTTCGCTCTTCTGTTTGTTTCGTTTCGGAGTTGGCCTGTCGGCGGAGCTTGAACTTGACGAGCGTTCGGAGCGTTTTGACATGAGAATAAGCAGCGAGCAACAATTGTTTTAATTACCTGGTTGTGTCGATGTTAAGAAAAAGACATTTCTGGTTACATTTGGGTGAACTTAAATGGCCTGGTATGACTCTTCTCAGCTAAGGAATCACAGAGCGCGAAGAACACGTCCGTCCGCCATGGTTCCTTCCCAGATTTCCATGTTTTCGCTGCATACTTGTCATATTTTTGTTTATGACCGTGGCCTGTGTATGTAGTTCTCCGGGTATTCCCACGGACTCTCGCCAATGCTGAGCGTAAGATTTAGCATATTAAATTTAGGAATACACTTAAAAGTATTATTTTAGAAGCATGCAGACTCCATATATGCCGTTTTTAATACCTCCCAAAAAAGCCAAAATTTTTAGTTCTGTAAACGACGGCTGACAGCCATCGAAACTCTCAACTGTAGGAAAGAAACCAAAGCCCCGTTCAAACGGTCATAATAGTTGATGACAGTTTCAACAATCACTCGCGTTTAATTACAAACTATCAAGCACTATCATTGGCTATCATCAACTATCATGTAGTTGCTGCCAAAAGGCAGCTGCGTAGAACACCACTCGGTGGCGCCTCCATTTGTGTAGAAAACCAAAGAGAATTAACCCTATGAAAAGAAAGAGTGCGATGTTTTTATAAAACGAAACAGTAACACATTTTGCAGGAACAAGTCGACTTAAAAGACACAAGTATGACTCAACAGTGGAGGATCGAAAACGGGAATCGGCGATATTTTCAATGACAATCATAGCTTAGTATTTAGGTGCCAGTTTCGCATTCGCATGACAAAACAATAAAGAAACGCTACGGCCCATCGAAAAATTTTTGTCATAAAAATAGTCAGTCGAAAAACCGCTCAAAATAATTTGTATGATCCAGTGAAAACTTCATCAATCAATACCAGTTACTAATGCATCAACCTCCCACCCCTCCGTGCGTTCTAATCACCACCCCTCCGTTAGTAACAACAGTCTGCCTAACACCCCTCCCTGAGTTCTGATAGAATGCATTCCACCCCTTCCTAAGTGCTAATGGTCTGCCTCCCCCCCCCCCCCGATAAAATGGTCCGAAAATAGTCCAAAAAAAAGGTCCAAAATATGGTCCAAAAAATGGTCCATAAAATAGTCCAAACAAAGAGTCCAGTAGTCCTGTGGTCCAAGTTACCCTATGCTCATTAACCATAACGCTTGCATTCAAATGCTTTATGAAAGTTAATGATAGTCGACAAAATCACTCCATGAGATTTCGTTACTGTACACAAATATGGCGCGCTCTGAGGTTAGAAAAAAAATATGGCTCACTAACATCCGCTCGTTCAAACGGCTGAGACTATCATCATCTATCTCGCCTTTTTTAACGGGGCTTAAGAGACTTTTTACGGTGGCCATCTACATTATCAACTCGATTAATAAAACCAAATTATATTGTCATACATCCCCACCGACGCAGCACCACAGGTTCCTTGGAATTTTACCACCTTTATTCAACTAAGCTCAAGCAGACCTGCGAGCCAGCAAATTTAATTGAACCTTAAATCGACTTAAGTTACATTAGCTTAGGTTTTATCATTTTACAATAGCTTCCAAATCCTTTTAACCACCTTAACTGAATTTCAGACTTGAAAAAATTTTTTGAACTTCGGAAAATAATGGAAAGAAACTGTCTGATTAGAAGTAAATAAATTTTCTAACGTCAGACATCCAAGAACATCATAGAAAGACTCAAATCTGACGTAGGACCAACAGACAAGGTATTCTTAAGCTACTCGAATGACATCTCTTTCCTCGATTCATATCCCTTATTTTCGTCGGTGAAAATCTTCCCGGAGCCTACTTAATGTTGTGAAGTTATTTGTCTAGGGACCAGATTGAGCCCTCACGTTACGTTTCCTTATTAGAGTGTTACGCCCAATTATCACCTCATATTCGGCGTGCCTTCGTAAAATAAGTGCTAAACACTAATGAAGGTACTTATTTATCCACGAAAAATTACAGTCTAGCTGACGTGGTCGTGTCTTAGTCAAGTCTAAGAGGTAAAAAGTAATAGAAAATTACCGTCGGGATTGAAACTACAAATACATGATTAAAACAAGAAATTGATGATTGAATCTATCTACATCCAATACTAATAATACCCACATTTAAATACTAAATAATATACATGAAAAAATTACTCAGTTCTGATTGGTTAAGATAAATGCAGTTTTCAGGTAATTCAATGCAGAAGAGGGTTAATTCAGTGCAAAGAAAGTAACAAACCAATAATCAGAGATACTCACTGATAGCTAATAAAATGCGAGCCTTGGATGACGCAACATTTAGCTACGATGATAATTTACGAGCGAAACAATGGTCGGCGTTTTAAGTAGATTTTCTTTCGCCACTGCTGAAAAACAGCGTTAACAACGAAAACACTACAAAAAGCACTGCTTTTTGGTTGTCGGTTTGGAAAAAGTGGTGTTTAGAGAAGGGAATTGCCAAGGAAATAAAAATTACGAGCCGATCCAGCTCGAGTGATTCTACGCCAAAATTTAAAAAAAACATGATTAAACCTTGCAAACGACGATTCCATTCCATCGAAAGTGATTCGGACACAGACTGAATAATTCCTTGGACTGTTTAGCCGGATCTTGAACATTTTTGCGCCTTATAGATGTGAAAATATCATTGTATGTTACTGTTTTGATCGTGCACGGCTGTTTTGACCGAATGCACAGGCTTGAATAACTATTCTTACACTTGATGCGCGCGCTCTGCTTCTGCATAATTATGATAAGCTATCTCGTATTTTTTCATGTATATTATTAATACGTAATCACATGACTTTTCTCGTGAAGTTTGGAATAAATAAGCAAATGTTAATTTTTTCAAAGACCACAAATTGCACTCGCCCTAGGGGCTCATGCAATTTTGTTAGTCCTTGAAAATATTTACTCGTGTTTATTTATTCAAAATTGCACTCGAAATCATTTGATTACCTACACTAGTTAAAATACTAATACTGTGGCCAGTGTGCATCTTCTATAATTCGTTCCATCAAAGTTCCATGTCACCCAAACGATTCCCCACTGCACACAGCCGGAGCTTTTCGTCGACCCTTTCCGCGTTCTTTGCTCAGAGCGACAAGAGCTCTTCAGCATCCTGCGCAATTACGACTGTTGGGTATCTGCCATTGTTCATATGGACCCTAACGACGTTTCGCTGTCCCTCCGACTGACGTTTATCAAATGAGAAAAGACAAATTACCGATAAGGAACTTCAGAACAGTGTTAATGTATCGTTTTTCAGTGCCTTGGGATTTTTTTAGTTCTTATAGGTATGCTCAACAAAAGGAAATATATTTCCAGTAAAATCGTTGCTTCCAAACCCAAATTGAAAATCATTACAGTTTAATTCCAAAAGCGTTCGTTTCCACCTGTCCATTCAAGAATTGGAACGTTTTAAAAACAATTGGGTTTCAATTTCACTTTGAGGCCAGTGAAATTGGCCGTTTCATTCGCGTTTCCGAGTTTTTTAGTGTAGATGACGGGCAAAAGTGAGTCAAAACGAATACTTTGTCGAACTAAAACGCACTATGGATGCATCGTTAAAGAATTGAAGATAATGGAACCTGGACGCGAAGATTTTATTTTTTACGCTTGGAAATTTTTGCTACATTCATGTTTCCTAGATGAAAAAGAATAAGTAAACGTGAACGGAAAAACAAACAACTACACACACAAAACCCTAAAAACCACAAATATTCACCTTTTTGCCACCTTTAAATCGCTTGTACCACAAAAGCCCCAAAATACTATTGATAAGCAAGGTTGCCACCACACAAGATGCAGCGATTGCAATCGCAATCTGAGTAGTTGAGCTTTCTTGTAGTCTTGTTTCTGTAATTTCTGTGAGATAAGATGAAAAATCAAACTAAAACTGAAAAGACTTTGATGGCTGACATCTTTCGTCGTACTGATTAAAAAAGGACCGTACGTAGTCCAATTAGGTTTGTGATCATACGAGTGACTAACCAAATTGGACGACCGTGAAATGCAAGTCCGATTTGCCAATCACGATTATGATTACTGGCCGCACTGGATGAGATGACATCGTGTTATCAATATCACTTTGATAGTCAATTACAACGTGCATGCGTAAAGAATATCGAGGCAAGGTGATCACAAGAATGTATTTAGGTCTTGCTGACTCAGTCCCACCGTGTGAGCTGTAGGGAAAGAAGTTTGAAAATGTTAACTGACAGTGTTTTGAACGGGAGTTTAAACGTTTTATTACACGCCCTGTATTTAAATTTTAGCGAGATCAATAAATATTTTTCGAAAGGAATATTCAAACTGTTCCTATAATTTCAAGAACTTGCCTTCCTTTGCGTGTAAAGAGGCCAATTTTGACTTTCCCTTTCCAGATGTTCGGCATTGATATGTGCCTCCATCTTCGTTCGTGCTCTCGTTGATAAGCTTTATGCTTAGTATGCTATGGCATTTTGTGGCATCTGAAGTTGCAATGAACTTTACCATTGAATTAGTTTTTGAAACATTTGAATCATTGCTCTTGTTTGGCTTAAAATGACAAGTGGCAGTGAGGCTGAAAATTCCGTTGGAATCAACTGAATTACTTTGGGTTTTTGGGTCTTCCCGCTTTTCTGTAATTGAAACGAAAAAAATCGCTATTAAAAGGTGAGAAAAAATGGATGCTATGTTCAGAAAGCATCTGTAATAGTAGGGCAAGCGGAGCAAATGTGACGCTCTCTCCATTCGCGTTGACTCAAGAGGCATAACCTTAGTAGTAATCATAGTAACCAGAGTAACCACAAAACATGTTTATTCTGGTGAAGCGACACTACGAGGGAAACTCAATAGAAAGGAGTAGTGTTGTAAAAAGTGGGAAATCCGAAACGTACGTGGGTTCAAAAGAATGATTTTACCGAAAAGGCAGAAAAAGGTAAACTGAATAGAAAATGAAAATCAGCGCACGGTCTTAGTATTTAGCTGTAAATTATTTCGATAACATTCCTTTTCGCGGTCAAACTTCTCGTCTCCGACACACAAAAACTCCTTAGCCGATGAAGCTGCTTAAAGAGTAAGTCGCTTACTCCAGATCAGATATTAAAAGTGGTGTCTAATCTATGTCATAATAAGCGCAAGTAAAGTCGGAAAGTTGCTTAGCTAGGGGAGAGGATTTCCCAGCAGGGTTAAACTGACCTACTTAGGACCTAATATCTCGTACAGGACGCTCTACTGTTGGTAAATAGTTCAAAGTTGTGAGGAGTCGTAAATGGAAAGTTTTTCTTCTCACCTTTCAGGCTTAAGAAGGCCGATAATGATACCTTTTTTCCAACGCTGTTAATTGCCACGCATTTATATCCGCCAAAATCTTCCTTCTTCACTTTCGTTATGGAGAGCTCACTGTGGATGCTTTTCTTATCCTTTGTACTTGAGTTGGATTGCAAGGTATGAAAATCATCGTTCTTGATCCAGGAGATGCTTGGCTTTGGAAGACCAGTAGCATTGCAATCGAAAGTGACATTGGAATCTATGTAAACACTTTGATTCCTTGGAACCTCCAAAAAAACTGGTGCAGAACCTGGAGGAAAAGTGTGCACTTGTATAAATACAATCAACTCCCTCGTTAGAGGACACCCTCGGGAATTGGAAAAAGTGCCCGCTAATAGAATTGTCTGCCTCCGACAGCTTGCTTTCCCGCGGACGAAGCGTAAACAAAAAAATCACATTTTCAATTTCAAAAGTGTCTGCGTCCGTCTACGAGAAACTGGGAGGCCAAAAAAGGAATTAGAAAAAGTGTCCGTAAGTAGAAACATCCGCTTATAAGAGTGGCCGATGGCGGGACTGTTTACACTTTTTTTCATCGAGATGTAAGGTTCATTGTGATTTGAGAGAGACCCAATGCACAATACTCACCTTTCTAAAACAACAGCGTAGGGTGTTTACCGTCACGCATTATTTAAGTAAAAAAAACAAACAAATAAACAAAAAAGGAACTAAAAAAGACAAATTAATAAACTAGTTATGATGAAAATACTTACCTATTGCAAATGATTGCCTTGTGCAGTGTTTATTATAACGATTGCCCGCTTGGCAAATATAGTGGCCAAATTCGTCTTCTGTCAGATTTTTAAACACCAATGGACAGCTGAATTTTCGTTTATATGCAAATATGTTTGAAGGCTGCTGGCATTTTGCTCCAACTTCTGTGCCATTTGGGTTGTACCACTGAATATACTTGACCCATCTATCCAAATAACCTGTATCTATAGCTCTCGGCTCTGCTTTACAAGTCAGAGTTATGGAGGCACCAACGGCTAAACTGACATTTTCTGGACTTGAAGAGATGTCGACAACGGGTCTTACTGTACAAGAGAGAAAACTAGTTGGTTAAAAAAATATTAATAAAATTTGGTTCTCTATCTCTATTCCAACCGAGGAGGACAAAGATGAGAAAAAAAAAGTTGAAAAGGATAGGCCATACTCTTCGTACCATGGGGTTTCACTACTTACTTCTGATTTTAGAATTGCACGTTTCGCTGCTGACAAACGGAGGATTCCATAAATTGCCAGCAAGAGTCAATAGCAACATCCACTTTGTTGCTTCTCCCAGCCAAAAGTCACTCATCATCGTGAACTGTTGAGAAATGTCTCGAGGTGTATCCGGAGGCCTGCAAATGGGATTGTCAATTGGAAAAAAGATATGAAATATTCACAAGGAGCAGGATTAGTTTAACAGGGTAGGAACAGCCACCTAAATAAAATGTTTTTCTAAATACATTTAAAAGTTTTTTTTTTGACAGGACCTTACATAGAAATAAGGAAAATAACTCCTTTAAATTGTTCAATTGTTGAGATGAGGGCGAACAAGTAGGGGACGAACAAAAAATTTGACGAAACCCATTATTGTGGGGTGTCTATTTACTACGATGAGTTTTAACTCATTAATATGGTCTATCATAAAAATTTCTCTTTTTTCGTTAATTTCTATAATTTTCTGTGGTGCCACTTTGTCTTTTTTTTAAATTGACTGCACCAGATTCCAATAAAATCTCAACCTCCCTTGGTTCACCAGTTGCCTGATAGTTAACAAGTGTTTAGTCAAATGAATTCCACCATATCGGAGAACATGCAAAGGTTCTAGTTTGGAAATAATTGCCAACAACAGTTCCACGCATTCTTCGTGTTTCTATGATATTATTTCTACAAACTCTCTCTCTTTCTTTCCCTTTAATTCTCGTATTCTACAAACTCTCTATCTCTTTTCCCTTTTATTCTCATATTCTAAAATACAGTGCCTCTCTGTGGCAACTTTCTGATTGTTTTCAATTTCGATTTGTTCCGAAAAACTGAGGAAAAGACGCAGACACTGCCGTGATATCGCTGCTTCAGATATCACCTAGTATCATTATTGATTCTTTCATTCTTCACTAATTTTAAAGGTTTAAGAGTGAATGTCCCTAAAAATCAAAGAAAAATAAAAAAATCGCGGAAATGGTAAAAAAAAATCGTTTCGTCCCATTTTTTGTCTACAGGTAGCTATAGGTACTACTTAAAGCGAAGTGAGGCTAGTTTGTGTAAATATTCATTTTAACGGAAATAAACCGTTACTAATTGCGTGGTCAAAAATGAGTGCATGCGAGCTCTAAATTATGCAGTTTTCAGGCGGTCCTTGCATGAACTAAAATGCAACAGCAGGACATCTCTAGCTATAAATATATACATGTGGTCTTCCATTACCAAGATATAGTGATATTTTTGGTATCGTGTCCTTCCTGACGAAACCACGGGTTAATTACCAGTGGACGTGTTCGTCATTTTTAATTCGTGCCAAACCCGGCCTAATGTAGTGTGGCAAAAATGCATGTGGTGGTCTCTCAAAATCTCCAGCAATGCAATCACGAGGGCTTATAAAGTGGGTCTTCAAATACATCGTTTCATTTTTCTAGTATCTTCTGCTGTTTTGATATACCAACCAACCAAACTTTGCTAAAATTGTAAATGGCGCCATATTGAAATGAATAAAATCAACATTGCTGTGACACAAGCAAAGCATTGTTTGAGTCGCAGCCGCACCTAGCTTTTTATGTTTGCTTTCACATCAATAGTTCCTTACCTTAGAAATATTTTATAGGCCCTTGCTATTCCGCTTGGAAGATATTTTCGAAATAATGTCCTTTGCAATTTGGTGTAAAGGGGGCCGACCGGCTAACTCAATGAAGCCATTGAGCCGGAATGAGTTAAATAAAGTTACTCCTTGTCGTCATTTTCTACAGCGTGTCGCAGCCCAGTTACGTTTAGTCTACTTTGATCCTAATTTTGATTTCTTCGACGTCCCACACAAAAAGGGTCCCGTATTAAACGGCAGGTAACGCTAGGGATTTGCTGGATTTTAATTTTTCATAGGTTCCTGTCACTCTGCGTGACATATGATAATCTGTCACGTAACGAGATCAACAAACAATTCATTTTGCCTCACATATAAAAATCTAAACAAATATATTGCCATCATGAACGAAAACGATACAACAAAGAAATAGACTTTACAAAATTTCACAAATATAAACCGTACAGTGAAAACCTTATGGAACGCAAATAACGATACAATTTTCCCACGGAAAACAAATGTGATCAGTTAACGAAAGTAATCGGAATGGAAAAAGTAATGGAATCGGATGGAGAAGAGCTAGTAGATTATGTTCTGTGCCACAGGATGTTTCCTGTCACAAAAAGGAATCTAAAGAAGTACCCGCAGCAGAAAGGGGAATCACTTTGCAGCACTCACTACAAATTTTTGAACTTACGAAAAACCTCGTACCCGTCGGATCAGGTAGGCGATTACAATAAGTCATGATCTTGTAAGAATTGACGTCCCTCTAGTTTATTCTCATTTAGTTGTATATAAGGAGGGTACTTAGCGGGAATCACAGACTTCATAACCTAACTTCAAATCGCTTCACTGTCGCGTAAAACAATGCCAAGTTTATCAGCAAAATTATTTTCATGTCTTTTTAGGATTTTTGCAAATATTTTTACTTCGGAAAACACTGGCGTTCACTCAACATTTTCGTCTCTTTCAAAACTTATTCAAAACCAGTGATGGGCTCCTGTCAAAACTAATTAATGGCATAGGGAACGCTCGAATTGAAATATTCACAGATCTTAGAATTCCTTCTAACTATGTGGGGAAAAAAGGAAAGGAACGTAAAATACTGACTTGTGACAAGGTTAACTACAGAATGCGTCATCAATTTGGGGTTTGTGGTGCTTTTGCCTGGGCTAGTTTTGTTCTTTTGCCACATGCAGAGCTATTTAGTCAAGGAGGATGTGTAAGGTAAAAAAGTATAAATTAATTCTTTCTCTCAAAATATTAAAGGAATTTGTGAGCGATGTCGACAGTCCCTACCAAAAAAAAAAATCAGTTACAATCGCAGAGTTTGGGTGCCACAAGAGGTGTGGAAAACATCACAGAAGGTCTAAGTGGTCTAGCCTTGGTGAGTTTCTTCAAACTGTTCATGACTAATTTCCATCCAATATAATTAATAACCTTAACGCATTCTCCGAATTCTCCCTTCTCCGCCCTTTTCGTGCCTAGGGATTCAACCCAGGTGGGAGAAGGGCGTGTCCAGGTTAACATGCATGCGGCTGTCAAACGCCGCCATTGCCGCCCGTTAACGACTAGGCAAAACCATACATGGCACAAGAATTGGGTAGGCATGCCCTGCCCAGATGGCAAATCACACTCCAGGATATATCCTAATAATAAAGATTTTAAATTATTATATGGCTCATTTTTTTCCAAATGCTCCAAATGGAAAAAAAATCCTGAGAAGTAACTGAATGAAGATATTAGGATAGGTTATCAGTCAATTATATTATAAAGTAGAAAATAATTATCGATTATTAACTTCCGTCTTGCATGCGACTTGCGCTTTCATACACGACACCCCGCGATCTCATTTTGAAACCATCCAAAGCAATGTGTTCACTTTTTCGTCAGGTTGATGAACAAGAGAGTGACTCTGATATTCCTGTCACTTTTGCTGTCACTGTTGGTGATGAAGCATTGCCAGAAGGTTCCACATCCAGAAAGCAGAGCCTATTTGTTCCGCAAGAAGATTCCGAAGAGGATGATGAAAGCTCCAATCCAGACAACGAGTCCCAGGTGCAGCTAAATCGCTTCTTACAAGTTCGAGACGTCAGTCCAGTATGTCACACGTTATCAGTGCCGTAGAATACAACGCACGAGCGAACTAAACGCAGATACTTACGGAAAGCTAAACAATATATTTCTGCAATGCTGGATGTCCTGGCACCTGAAAATTCGCAAGAACTGTGGACGGAGCTTTGTGATCGTCACGCTGTATGCAGCGAGAGTCAGGTTGTGGTCGAAGGCAGAAGTGAAAAAGAGACGGAGCTTCTTAATGCAATTGCTGAACGCTACTTGAACGCGTAACATTGGAGCACCAGACAGCAAATACTCTCTTTGACGGCAGACAAGTTATCCCCTAAGGAGATGAGGGAGTTTATTCCAACCGTTACTAGCTATCGCTACAACATTGCCCGACGCCACACGCCACAGGCTGATATATGGAAGAGCTGCTCCTCTTCCAAACCAGGAGAAAAGGAGAATGAGGATTGAATCTGTAAAATTAGAACATTTCGTTTCTTTCATAACGAGTCCACACGTTATTCAAGATGTTCCTTTCTGAAATTGTCGACTAGCGAGATCATAAAAACACCCAATGTTGTCAGAACAATGATACCAGAGCGTATTGTCCAGCAGTATCAACAACTAACTTTTCAGCATCAGGAGTGGAAGCATTTGATGATTTAGAAAAACTCGTAGACAACCTTGTTGACTGTGGCAAGAATCAGCAATGGGCGAGGGAAATTAAGCAGCAACCTCGTTTGTCGAAGCAGTACCTAAAGGGCGACTACAAGGTGGGTGCATATTTTATAATTATGCGTTGCCTTCGCAGAAGTGATGTGGTAAACTTCTTTCTAAGATTCACGGCCACCTCTTTCTTTCTCTCCAAGTCTTCTTTATGCTTAATTTATGAAAAAAACAGTTTACAATTCACTGTAATACGTTTACACGCATGTACACTCGATTGCAAAAACGTTGTCACCTTGAAAGCATAAACCGTGAACGATGAGACCCGACGGATTTGTGGGTAGTGTTTAAACAATAACCTCATTTCCATCATGATAATCAATAATTTACTATTCTTATTCTTTGCAATAAAAAATACATTGCTGGAAAAAAAAGTATGCCCAAAGCATACTCGGACGATTTACGTTTACAGTTACAGTTTATGCTTTCAAGGTGTCAACGTTTTTGCAATCGAGTGTATACAAAGCTGAGAATCGTTTAAGTAATCTTTTTGAAATGTCGATCATATGCGCATGCGTTGCTTTGCAAATATACACTGAATCACGCGCTTGTCATTTTACTTTTTATTTTAGGTACATGCAGTGGAGGCCTCAGAGGTTCCCGATCATTGTCGAATCTACGCGCTAGGTGACCCAAGCAATGCTGAATTTCGGGGCTCCTGCGAACATCTCCACAATGAGTCATATGAGCAATGTTATGAGTTACAGGAAGTATTATTTACCATAGAAGATGAGTGTTTAAGTGCGCTCTCGTCAGCAGAAGATCAAGCTGACATGTAGCATACCATCAAGCTGGCAAGGGATGATATCATTAGCTGGAAAGCCCATCAGCTACGTTCAGTCCACCAAGCTGAGGCGAAACATTCAGTTTTACCCAGACTGGACAGCTGATCGGTGCTGTTAGGCCAGGACTGGGTAATGAAGTATATGCCCCGAAAATATCGAGAGGCACAGTCAGATTGGTTTGCGAAGCGAGGATTGCCATGGCACATTAGCCTTTCCATAAGACAGTCAGAGGATTCTGAGCACTTTGAATCGCAGACACTTGTTCACGCATTTCAAAGCTGCGCCCAAGACGGTGTGACTGTCGCTTCGATAATGCTTGACTGCCTCACTACCCTGAAAAAGGAAGTTCCAGAGCTAGAAATGGCTTATTACAAACAAGATAACGCAGGCTATTATCACAGCGGAAATTCAATCATCTCAGCTAAGCTGGCCAGTGATGCCATGGGAGTGGCTGTTGTAAGAAACGACTTTTCGGACCCTCAAGGTGGAAAGGGGGTATGTGATCGCAAAGTGGCAACAATCAAGGGAGACGTTGGAAAGTACGTAAACGAAGGCAATGCTGTCATCAACGCTCTACAGTTCAAAACAGCCATTGAGTCTGACCAAGAAACCACAGGAGTGAAAGTAAGTTATGTTGCTGCCAAACCGTCAAGCACCTTTGATATCAAATAGGATGGCATAAGTATACTCAACAATTTTAAGTACGATGAAAGTGGCGCACGAGTGTGGAGAGCATTCAGTGTGGGTTCCGGTAAAGTATAGGCCAATTTCGAAGGAGTCAAGAAGCAGCCCGAAAAATTGGAAATCCTAGACTCGCCATCGCAGAATCCAAGTGGCGCACCGACGTTCAAGATTGTGAGACACCGACATATCAAGGAAAGCTCTGTCAAAGCAGATTTCTCTACTGAAAGCGAAAACCAAGATCAAAGCTGTATTGGGGAATATAAGCCAGATGCCATGCTTTTCCCGTGTCCAAAAGAAGGATGTGTAAAAGAATACAGTCGCTTTGCAAACCTCCAGACACACCTAGATACTGGAAAACACCAAATGATGCTCGAACAGGAAACTCTCTACGATAAAGCTAAAAGAGAATATTCTTCCAAGCTAACGGAGGGACGCAGTCGAATACCAAGCGTTCAAGTTGCTGCACAATCAAAGATTGACGGCTTGCCGCCTCTTCCAATGGGTTGGGCCCTGAAGACAACTAAGAAAAAGGTGCGTTTTACAAAGAAACAGACCGAATTCTTAACTGACCATTTCAAAAAGGGGAGTATAGTGGACGGAAAAGCGATCAACAGGAAGTTTCGAAAACCATGAGCCTAGCAAGAGACCAAGCGGAGGGAAGCCGATTTCAACCTAATGAAGTCCTTACGTCGCAGCAGATTAGTGGCTTCTTCACCCGTCTTTCAGCAAAGAAGCGATTAAAAGTTACAGCCGCCGGTAACGAAGCAAAAGCTAGTGAAGTATCAGAAGTGGACATGGAGAGCGTCGTCGAGGACGAAATTTCTGCCGAAGCTGAGAGTCATCTATCTGCAGCGTGTACAAATGTGGTGAGAGATGTGGCTATTCAACATCCGATTGTATCTTTCGATCTAAACATCTGCAAACTTGTGCAAAAACGTATACTCACAACTTAAAGAGTGGATAGGTTAAGAGACATGTGCATCGACCTTGGGCTGGATATTTCTGACAGTTCACCTCAGAAGAAGAGAAAGCCATTCATCGCACGACTCACATAGTTAGTCCAGGAGTGTACCTGCTCTTCCAAGTAACTGAGCACTGAGCGTTTTACGAATAACTGATCCGCTGATTATAAAAGCGGTGCGTGCATTATTTACAAGAAGGCGTTGCATGACAGCAGAGTCCTACATATCGGATTTCAGTCACTCGAGTTCACCACTGCTTCTGAAACCTCCTTATCTTTGTGTTGGACGATTTTCAGTATATTAGAAACTGGCGAGTGCAGAAGGCGCAGAAGGGATGCAAATGCTCGAATCCATGTTCACCGGGTGAGATATAAACGTAAACTATCGGCTTTATGGCAAATTTAACCTGTTGAGTGCAATTCAACTGTTTAACCTGGCGTGATTCTTAGGGTAGCAAAAGTCGAAAATTATTTCTCCTGTCTCCGTAAAAATCAAGTGTAGTTATAGACATTTTAAAATGTTTTTGTCATTTTAACGGCCAGTGGAGATATAACTGACCAAAACAGTTATTTGTGTACAACGCGTTTAATTTTGTGATTATTCATCTCATTATGGCGTCATAGTAATTTAACCGAAATTCGGCTGGTGGTCATCTTTTGATAGTCAAAGGTCCCAAAGAAATGAAACCCAACCCCATTGTAAAGAACCATCTTTCAAGGCTTCCTGGTAGCGTTATTGTAAACTTTGAGACACTAACACAGGTATTTTTGCCAAGCTATTCTAGGCCACCTTTGCCTTAATTTCAAAAGGCCGAAGATGACGTCTCTTAATAGGGACGTAGCTCCTCCAAGAATAACATGAGACAAAAACTATCACTTTGCGTCGATAATACAAGTCCAACTCAATATTTCTATAACTAGAAAAGTCCTTCCGTTACATTTTTGTTAGCATGACAAGTGCCCGAAACGTGCATAATTTCAGGGTCGCGCTTGGTGAAATTTGAGCGATTTACCCTCGGAAATGTTAAAACAAATTATTACCTTTAAAGTGCATATTTCAAAAATCTAAACCCATTTCCGTTTGTTCACTAAATAAGGCTACCCACAGGCAAAAAATGAACCAAATCGATTTTTGACATTTACTCTTAAGATGTTGGTTAAATTGTAAAATAAATGGCCGCTAGAGAAAAAATCTTATCAATTTTGACTAACTGCGTATCCAAGGAATTTAAAAGAAAGAAATAGTTTCTTTTAGCATTGCTTGATATAGAGTATATCCTCTTCCATCTTCCTTGGATTTTTATTTTAATCATAGTGTATTCAAAAAATGAGAAAAATGTCGGAAATTCGAGGTGGACGTGATGGTTATGGTAACACTTGTAAAGATATGTTTTTAGAAATTTCTAGTATGCACAGTCATGCTGACATACAAGAGATACAATAAGAGTACGTTAACTTTAAAATAATAAAAAATAAAAACAAGATAAAAAACTAACTTTGGTGACGGCTTTGTTACAGTAAAATCTATCTCGACACTGAACTGATGCAACATAGCCTTAAATTAGAAAAAGAAATTCAAAACAATTGGCCGTCGTCCTTCACGTTCCCCAGATAACGCAAAGTTTGATCATTTCAAGTTGTTACAAGGGACGCAAAGAAATTTACAAAGGTTTATGCACGCGCGCTCATCAAACCTCTTGTTTAGTGACGTTCCCATTGCCGTTTCCGTTGTGGTTTCCTTAAACTCTCAATTTTTCACCTCTTACTGACGCACAACGGTAATGATAGGTGTCACGGAATATTGATTTTGGCGAAACCGGGGCCTAGAAAATCAAGTCCATCATAGGCATTTGCTCCATGTTTATTTGAATCAAATAAACCTCAAATTTGCACTTTTTCTGAAATGCACTTGAATTTCGGTGCCAAATTATTTTCTCTCCCCCGTTGATGAAGGTTGTGGTCTTGGCCAAGCATTTGAATGAGTTATTTGGTACTTTTTAATCGTACATTTTGCGGAATACAATTCAAAATGCTTTAATGACGAATTTCAATAAATAGAACTAACAGAGAGGTTTCTATGACATTTCTTAGTCTCCAGCATTGTATTAATTGAAACCAGGATTTATATTAGACCGTTCCCTACTTAAAGAGTATGAGATAATTTGCTGGGTACATTTGCAACGATGAGATGACTTTTTTTTCGAATGAGAACTCCGCCAACTGTTTATTGGTCATAACTTCCTTCGACTTTCCTTTTTAATTTTTCTTTAAAGAATATGAGTTGGCAGGAAATGATATGTGGCTCTTTTCAGTTAAAAAAAAAACTAACCCTTTGATAGATTAAATCGTGGAAATTGCAAATTTACAACCGTCAGAATTTATTGGCAGTCCACATTTTTACATTATGCGTTGTAGCTCGATGTTATCAAATTTTCAGCTTCCATTTTCGAAATTCAAGTTCAGGAATCGATAAACTAAATCTAGTTCAGTTGGTGATGACATAAAATGAGAAATAAGTGATTTTCATGCGGTCAAGAGCTGATTGTGTATAATTCTACAACTTTTAATTTACAATTTAAATTTAGGAGTTTTAAGTTCTTTTTCATCTTTTACATTTAAGATTTGAATAACTTTTATTTCCTGCGATATCCAGCAATACGATATAAATCGCAACCATCATAAGCAGTACTTCCCTCCTAAATAAGTTATCAAAACAAAGAGTGAGATGAAACCTTACTTTGGTGATGACTCGCTCCAAGAATACAGGGACTGATAAGTCAGACGGTTGCTGAATAATAGCGGACGGGCAGAGGGACTAGCCGAATCGATAACTTAAACCTTTCCACTCCCAGAAGTGATTAAAATGAAACTACGATCTTGATCTAGCACCAAGTTCTTATAACTAATTATTCTGGCCGGAAATGGCCAGAATAACTAGGATGACTAGCAGTTTTCCACTGGCGTAAAGCAACGAGATTGAGTTTTGGCTTCGAATGTATTCAGGCTTGAAGTGCTGGGCCGTGCATAACGATAACCAAGCTTGTTACAGTTTACACTTACCTTGCGAGGAAACTTAATGAAAAGCAATAACCGTGGGAACAGTTAAAGTTTAATGGCTGATTGATTTGATTCGATTCATTAATTCAATTATCTTATGCAAACATTGGCGATAGGCTTGATCAGTAGATTACTTTAGCGGACGAAAAAACCATACTTTTCTGAAAAAAGAAATTGTGAAAGTCACTGCCACATAGCTAAAAAACTTAAAAGTTTCCATCTGGAATCCAATGCTGCTCACAAATGTAATGCCTAATTTTAAGGTATAGCGCCTTAGGAGAAAGAATCCACAAGCAGTCATGCGCAAAAATACCAGCTAAAAATATATATTACATTCTTCAATCTACTTCTTTCTCGGCGATACCGTGATGACTGCTTAAGATACTTGTTGTTTTTTAGACGTGATTTTTGACTATCACCATGCTGATACAATTTGGATATTTTGATCACGATCCCGCTTACTTAATGCAGTTAGTACTATTGTGCTATTTCTAAATATTTCTCCCCGAACATAAAGAGAAAGAAAAGTAACATCACAAGATAAATGTGTATTCTGGGGATCATAATTTTCCAACAATTGGAGAAAACTTGGCCCTGGTTAAACCAAAAAAGAATAAATAATATTAAATCAACATGAAGATAGTAACAAACAGCTATTGTCGACGATGACGTCTTTGAAACCCACAAGTTTACCATCTCCTCAAACGATCGCCGATCTAATCGCAATGATATGTGAAATGTTGGGTTTATCGATCTGTTTCTGACAATCCCACAATACTGAGCTGATCTAAAATTTTGAAATTTTTCCGCAAGTTATCAGTTGGCTCGTGTTCCCTAGATTTCACTGCCAGAAGGATTATTTGAGACTGAATATTCGAGACGGTCAATCAAAAGACGTCCTTTAAGGATTAACCAAAGATACATACCCCTGTCTGTCACAGCAAGACGGCCTCAAAAATCACCGATACCGATTTTTTTTTTTTTATCTAAATCTGATTTTAGGACTTAACCCCGCTAAGCTGTGGAGAAATTTGAAGACAAACTTTATTCCCACGGTCATGACGACTATCAGCAGTGGTACTTACACTAATAGATCGTACGTCTAAGGCGCATTTTTCGTTCGCTATGACATCGGATGGCTTTGAAAATTCTGGATTCGCGTTTTAACTTACCAGAGAACAAAACTAAATGGGAAGTCTCTTTAACCCGCTGCAATATTCGCTTGGGACAATCTTATGGTGGAATACCAAATTCAATTCGCCGCTTAGCCACGTTAAAAAGTATTTTAACCGTGAAATATTGAACGATGTCCGTGCCGGAAAGGTCTCAAAACACGAACAAAGCTAAACAATAACTAAACGCAGTACTTCGTGCTTTCGTCGAGGCAAAGCGGAATCGCAAAATGAACATATTTTGTGGAACATGTACAATAACAGCGGAGTGTACTTTCTTGTTTATGCTCGAAATGCCTGGTACATTATGCGTAAGAAGCTGTTAAAAACTAAAATCTCCAGCCAATCATGAGAATTTCAATATATAAATATATACATATATAAATTGTTCATCATATTCAGCGCTATTTTTGGTGTCATATGACTGCTTCATTAAAGCCGCAAAAGTTAGACATAACTATGAAAAAGGAGGTCCACCTCACAGAGAAATGGCAAGAATGATACTGCAAATTGTCCATTTCTGTGCGACTCAACGGTATGACTTAACTGTTCGGTGCGTACATCTGTTAGAGTTTACTACTGAATACCGCTTTCCTAAACTTGTTGTTTTCTTATTATCATCATTGAAATATGCAGTAAAACCTTTGCAAAGTTACTGCGTTGTCCACCCATTCGTTGACCGTCAAGAAATGATTAACGACCATTGGTTCATAATCTATGCAATACACGCGTATTTAGCTGGAAAACTTGTCACCTTACCACAGTTAAATCGTACTCCCATTTTTTCACCCACTTTAACTTGATAACTTGAAGGCACTTGCAGCGAAAAAAAATTGTGCGGAGGTGAAACAAAGTCTTAGGAAATTTTGACAGCAGTTATTGTGCTCTCCCTTTTAAAAAAATTTCATTTAATTTATTCTGTCAACACTTTTTTGATGAGAAAAGAAAAAGCATATATATTTAGTCAGTATTTTCAAATTTCAAAATTTTTGAAAACGGGTATGTATATATATACTAAGCACCACCTTTGCGTGGTGCCGTCGACGTCAATGAACGGAAATTATAAATATATGTATATATATACATAAATATAGAAAAATCTGTCTAATAAATCAAATAACAAACAAAAACGCTCGAGTAAAATAAAAACTGTTTAGCATGATTTGTGATTTAATGATTGGTTCTGAGTCAGACGGTTAGGAAGAGGAAAAAAGTATAAGAAGCGTCAAAGTAGAACTCCTTGGTAAAAAAAAGAATTCTTGTTGACCAGGTGCTTACAGTTACTCGAAAAGAAAATTTCAACCTACTTTAAAGACGACCTGCAGGACTAACTTCAGAAAGACAGAGGTTGCCAATGGATAGGTTGGCTGATTCTCTCTAATCGCTTTGATGGTAGTGAGGAAGACGCTACCAACTACAACTCCTTTTATGTATATGTCAAATCCCATAAGTCCTCGTTGAAAAAATGGTCAATCTAATTTTAACCGTCTCCTGACGAATACATCCAATTTCTTTTGCAATCTCGAGTTTACAATTAGCGGAAAACTTACGTACTTTTGATAATTTTAATCAATTGTTTGGTTTAAAATCGGTAGCAATTTTGCGTGCCTTAAAATGATTCAGATGCTGTAATTTGGCCTTTTTTCCTAAGTCCATGCAATGTAAGTTACATTTCGAATGTTTGGAAAGGGTAAACCAGCCATGACTTGATTTGGACAATTTTAGCCATCCTCATAGGAGAAGGTTAATCTTGCCATTATATTTTTGGCATCAGATCATATGCTTGGGTAAGCAAGTTCTAAGTATATAACATTCTGAAAGAAACATTTAATCATGATCAAAATTGGAAAGTTGAACTATCGACATTGTTGACAGGTGAACGAAGACGATGAAAAACGGCTCTAAAAAAGGACTGTCGCAGGGTGGAAAAAAAGACCATTTAACTCAGCTTTATGACAAAGCGCTTTCCAGAATTGAGGCCGAGTTCATATCTGTTCTCGCTAAGGATCGAATTGAGAGAGAGAGGAAATTGGTTTAGTTTGGATTATCTTAAACTGATCAACCTGATTGCATCCTTCAGACAAAGATATCAAATTTTGCGGAAATCTGGCTGGAGTTTTAAATTAGCGGAAAAATTAAGCCGGCGACACACACAGGTGACCTTTCTTCATAATTACTGTTAGAGAAAATCTTGCTCGTTGAGAGTTATTTTGGCCTAGGGGGCTTTTTGGATAAGTTTCAATCAAATACAAAAGAATGCGTGTGATGATCAATGTAATGATCAATGTGATGATCAATGAAAAGGACACTAAGTACTCAAGTTCTCATTAACTTCGGAAGGCTTTAATGTGATTTAAATTTTGGACGGTTCTAAGTTCTTCTAAAATTCTCTTCATTTCTCTCCTTGCGAAGTAGTGAAAATTGGATTTGAGAGAGAAACGGAAAAAACAGATCGCTGTGGCGATTTAATAGGAAGCGGCAGAGGGAATATTTAGACCAGGAATGGTTTCGCACAGTATAGCTTGATAAAAACTGGCACTTTTTACCTTAGCATGTAATAGGGTGCCAAACAGACAACATTCAGTTTTGACGTTGTGTGAAAATGAAAAAAAAAACAATAAGTAAACGAATCAAAATAATATGGAAAAAAAAAAGTTCGTCGGCGTGATCTCGTTCGAACTTCTTTGTGAGGACAATAGAATTCGCATATTCGCTTAGTTTGCCTGTTTTTCACTCAGCTTCGCATGGTTTTCACCGTGCTCGCCCGGAGAACAACAATCTTAGAAAATTCCTTAAAAAAATGATCCCTTACCAATGTGATTGGAAGGACTCACTTGAAATCGCTTTCAGTAACTGACTAAATGACTCCGTTTTTACACATCGACTTTCGTGTTGGTACTGGTATGTACCAGACGCTGCTACTTTTATTCTCGCGCCACCAAATACGAGTCGATTTTTTATCAGACTTAAACTATAACCTTAGTGATAGCCGCGGTAAATCAAATCCTTTTGGCTCTCAGAGTTGACCCCCTAAAGGGATATCATGGTGAAAAATTGTCAAAAATGATAAAGAAGTGAATACGACTTTTTGCGATCATTCGAGCTTGCCTATTCCCTAAGGAAACGACTATCTGCTGATTATGTAGTGAACGCCTGATATCGAAAGAATAGAGAGAAGTGAAACTACCATATATCCAAAATCATCACTGAAACTACCTTATTGCGAACTTGCTTTTAATTGATTCTGATTTACATGTCTCGAGAAAACGTTCGAATTCGTTATTACCGATTGCATTTAAAAAGAAACAAGCTCTCGCTCATCAATCAACATCCAGCCGGACAATGGCGTTGGGTCATGTGGTTAATTGATTTTTTCTTGAGGTGTATAAACTAGCGAACACTCTGCAGCAATTACCATAGATCTCTCCAAAGCATTTGACTCTATCAATCATGATTTGTTTCTTGCAAAACTGTCAGCTTATAGTGTAACTAAAGACGCCTTACAACTTCTACGTTCTTACTTGACTGACCGTAAGCAACATGTCAAGACTGACGGTATTTTGTCGGATTGGCAAATTGTGAGGTGTGGAGTTCCTCAAGGCTCAATCTTGGGCCCCCTTCTCTTCAATATATACATGAACGATGTGAATTT